GGCCGAAATATATCAGTCGAGCAACAACAACCGAGAGCTCCAACGTCGAGAACGAGAGCAACCTTCAGAGGACGGAGCCGGAGACGGACCTCCTGGATTACAGCGAAGCAATGACCGGCGATACTCCTTCAGCCCTGCAGCAGCCGAGCGGCTTCGAAGGCTTAGGCTCCAGTCTGCCATCAGTTACCGGCAACGCTATGAGACCACAGGTGGCCGAAACTTTGAGGTCGGAACTAGGAATTTCACCTGCATTAATCAACTCGAGAGCGACTTCCCTAGCGCTAGAGACAGCTTCCAACCGCTCGACGCCAGTACCTTGCCCCGTAGACAGACAAGTTTTCCCGGTCAATTCGACTACCGCGACAGGTCGGCAGATACTATCTCCGACCCCTCTTCTACCAAATCGGAACCAATTCGCAGCCTTGAGTCCATCTCCAGCCCCACTCGGCTTAGACGACATAATAGTGGACAACCAGGAGCTAGAGACAGTCATCCACCTTTTCAACAAGCAATGGAACACCTTTGTTCAAGCTCGAGAAAATCAGAACCTACGTTTGATGCGGATGGCTCTAGTCCAAGCAATATCCAGCCAGGACGAAATCCGATTACTAGCTGGAGGAGCAGAGATGCTCAGAATCTGCGAAAATTGGATAGCGCGGGAAGAATTAGCAGACCTGGAGAGAGCCGAAGCTGCAAGTTGCCACCAGACGGCCCAACGTCTAGCCATAACCCAAACGGCCCATCCCCGGCCCCTCAGCGTTTGACACGCCAATCCTCAGACGTGACGTACCTGGGTACTGGCCAGGTTCAGCAGCGATCAAACCCGCCACCTCCACCCCCGCCACCGTCTACTCCACACCCATCGGAGGTTGCACGACAAACGCAGCTTTACCATCAGCAGCCCCACCACCACCATCAACAGAGAGGCTACCACAACCCACAACCTCAGCAAGAGAGGTTGGTGCAGAATCACGCGCCCCCTCAGCACCAGGCTATGCAAGTCGCCCCGAATCACGATCAACAACAGCCCCCCCGCCCCCCACGTCAAGGAAATTGGAGAGGATTCGGGAGGAACAGGAGACGCCCCCAATAATCGAAGTAGGGGAGTACTTGATGAGAGCCAAGAGGATTGCCGGCAGAGTGTTCAGAGACCAAGCCAGAGGGAGAGGAAGGGGGAGAAGAGGACCCCCTCGACAGGAAGAACCCCCAGCGGAACCCCGCCAATAAACTCACCCGACAGCCTCGACCTAGAACATTTATCGGACCCATCCGTAAAGGAACACTTCCTGAAAAATATCAACAACGACTTAGCACAAGATGTACCCCTGCTTGTGGAAGAGAGGTTGCAAGACTTATTCTCTATTTTTCTCTCGGAATTATCTGGAACTATGGAGTCCATTCCTCATTCTCTAATGGAATCTTGTCTTTCAAATTTTAACAATTCTATGAAAAATTCTTTTTCTGATCTTCTAAGTAATGAAATCATTCCTTCTATCTTGAACAGAGTTGTTGAATCTTTGAGTGAAAAAAATATTATTAGAACCAGTAACAATTGCTGCCAATGCCCCTGTGATATAGAAGGATTAAAAAGTAACTTGGAAAAGAAGATAGAGGATCTACAGGATGTGCTATACGTGAGAGATAATCTACACCACTCTGAGAGAGAAGAAGTTATGGATAGAGTGAGAGCATTAGAGAAGAAATTGTCTGAGAAATTTAACTATGTATCAAATCAAGTGACTGATTTAAATGTAAATGAGAACAATAGATTTGAACAAGTAAAAAGGAGGCTAGGGGATTTGCATAACACTACTCAACAAATAAATAGTAAGTTAAACTCTATTATTGAACCTGAGTATAAAGAATCACCGCCTCACCTTCAGTACAATAACCCATGGTCAAATGCTCTGGCTGAACAAGTAATCAATCAGCCCCCTCTGGAAGGAGAAAAATGGCCTCAAAATCCTGTTCCCCACTCCCAAGGCCCAGTAAGACTGGAAGAACAAACAACAAAAAGGGTAACTAGTGAATTTGATACCAAGCCTCTTGAAAATAATAGCCTTGAATCCTGGCTTATAGATTTCCCCTTCATTGATCATGGTGAAATAAACTCCGAGGTGAGAAACCAATTATGGAAAGGTATCCCTAAGACCAGTGAATGGGAAACTTTCTCTGGTGAATTACCATACAACCATGAGTTGTGGCTGCAGCACATTGACGTCTTCATCCAAGACTACCTCATGACTGATGACATGGTAATCAGTAGGTTGACTGCTCTGCTTACAGATACCGCAAAAAATTGGTACATAGGAATCAGAGACAAACATGGGAGAAAATCCTGGGCATGGTGGAAGAATACTATTAGGAATAAATTTGGCACTCATAATTGGAAATGGAAAATGAGAGTAGAATTTGAGAAAGATCATTTCTCAATAGAAAATAGAAAAGTCCACAAGTGGTTCAACACTCAGAGAGAAAGACTTAGAGCATACCAACCAGAGCTCAGTGATTATCTTGTCTGTGAAAAGATCCTCAAGCAGTGCCCTGGCTCCTTGGAACCTGCTGTTAAGAGCAGATATAAGAAAGCAGATGAAGATATGAACTTTGAAGAGATGGTTATCATTATAGAGGAAGTTCTGGACAGAGCAATGGGCCAATACAGACCTAAGTATAGTAACCCATCCCAAAATATTAAATCCTCTTGGCGAAATGGAAATCAGCCAAACAAGCTTGAAGATAATAAAGCTGAGACAGATCAAAAGAAAACTCCTGCTACTGCTCCCGCATTCACCAAAGGGAAAGATGTTTGTCATTTCTGTAAACAACCAGGTCACTACTCCAGAGAATGCCCCAGGAAAAGAAGCAGAATCAATAACATTGAGCTGAATTCAGGGGATGAAGATGAGGACAGGAATGACCTGGGAAGCCAATCAGAAAAAGAGGAAGACAATCAGGAGAACAATCATATGATCCTAGCCTTGGATAATGATGGTACATCAGACCCCCTGATAAACTTTAACTTTGATGAATGTGCAGTTGAGTGTGAATTGACCAATGAGTTCTCAATAGCTGAAATACAAGCTGAGTCCCATCAACCCCAGGCTTGGGACAGGAACTGCCAAAGTTCCCATGTAGAGGACGCTAGACTAATGAGATGTAAACCTGATAAAGGTAAGGGCCACCTGATTGGAAAATCAAATCTGACCAGTGTATTGATTGATGGCAAAGAGTTCTCATGCTTACTAGATAGTGGTGCCTCCTGCTCTATTATTAGCCACTCCCTCCTAGACCACATTAAACCCTTGTGGAAAGATGACCTCATGCCTATTAACCACGCTAGATTCCATAGTTGTAGTGACCAATTACAACCCTTGGGCATAGTAGAGATACCTCTTATATTCCCCCATACTAAAGGATCAATGAGAATAATAGCTGAATTTGTAGTCATGAGAAATGCTAGAATCAATTATCTCATCCTAGGAAATGATTACATGTCTTTGTCTGGTTTTGATATCACCAATAGCAAAGAAAGATTCTTTACCATAGGAAATGATAATAAGAAAAAGAAATTCAGCTTTAAATCCCATGCAACTGACAAGATGCCTCCTTCTACTGATATCTCCTCAGTCAAGAAAACAGACCCCATGCTCCAGAAATTTATATCCGAAGAATTATCTGACGCAAAGATAAGTGAGCAGTTATCCAGTGAGCAGAAAGAAAAATTATTTGAAGTACTATATTCAAATAAACTTGCTTTTGCTAACACAGATCAGCCTCTGGGAGCCATCAAAGGCCATGAAGTCCACTTGACTTTGACCACTGAAAGACCTTACCCCCTCTCCTGCGCAAAGCCCCTTATCCTGCCAGCCCCAAAAGCAGAGAAGCACTGGAGGAACACATAGAAGAGCTAGTCAGATTGAATGTGTTGAGGAAAGTTGGCCATAATGAAGTTGTAGAAATCACTACTCCAGTGATTATAGCTTGGCACAACGGAAAATCTAGGATGGTAGGAGACTTCAGATCATTAAATTCCTATACAGCAGCAGACAGGTATCCAATACCCAAAATCAGTGAGACCTTGAATAATCTGGCCAAAGCTAAATTCCTGACTAGCATGGACGTATTAAAAGGTTTCCACCAAAATGTGATAGCTGAAGAGTCCAGACACCTGTTGAGGATTATTCTACATAAAGGAATATATGAGTATTTGAGAATGCCCTTTGGGATCAAAAATGCCCCCTCTCATTTCCAAAGGATGATGGACATAGAGTTCAGAAAAGAGTTAGACGAAAAGTGGGTCATCATTTACATTGATGATATCATCATAATGTCAAACACTTGGGAAGAACACTTAATAAGAATCAGTAGGATCTTACAGATTGTCATTAAGATGAATATGAAAATCTCCTTGAAAAAATGCAATTTTGGTTTCAACCAGATTAAAGCCTTGGGCCATGTGGTGTCTGGGATAGCAATAGGAATAGACCAGAACAAAGTAGCAGCTGTTTTGCAAAAACCAGTCCCAAATTGCAAAAAAGAGGTTCAATCCTTCTTGGGTTTTGCTGGATATTACAGACAGCACATTGAGCACTTTGCAGACATTGCTAGACCACTAACAGAACTGACCAAAATTGAAGTTGTGTTTGAAATGACCCATAGGAGACTTGCAGCATATAACCTCCTCAGAGAGAAACTTACTTCAGCTCCCTTGCTCCTTTTCCCTGACTGGAAATACCCCTTCATCTTATATGTAGATGCCAGTATGACAGGACTAGGTGCTGCCCTCCATCAAGTCCAGAAAATTGATGGAATCAAAAAAGAAGGACCAATTGTTTTCATCTCTAGACAACTCAAAGACAGTGAAACAAGGTATGGAGCTAGCCAATTAGAGTGCTTGTGTCTAGTGTGGGCAGTGGAAAAGTTGCACTATTATCTGGATGGTAGTTCCTTCAAAGTTGTAACAGATTGCACTGCTTTGAGATCCCTACTCAACATGAAAACCCCTAACAGGCATATGCTCAGGTGGCAAATTGCAATACAAGAATACAGAGCCAACATGGAAATAGAACACAGAGATGGGAATATACATAAGAATGCTGATGGTTTAAGCAGATGGGCTTTACCAAATGACCCCAGCAACCCTGCTTACGATCCAGAAGACAAGGATGATGATAGATTCCCTATCATGGGCATACATGTTTCTTCTTTCAAAGATGAATTCTTTGAGACGGTGAAAGAAGGTTATCAGAAGAATAACAACACTGTCATCTTATCCCAGATACTCACTAAGAATAACAAAGATTCAGCGCTAAAAAATTCCTTGCAAGAACCTTGGAAGACATCTTATGCAGAAGGAAGATTCTCCCTGTTTGATGGCCTTATATATCACAGGGAAAAACATAACTCAGTCTTGGTTCTTGCGGATAAGGATAGTATCAATGTAGTTCTACATGAGTGCCACGACAGTGTATACTCTGGCCATTTCTCAGAAGACAGGACTCTAGAAAAAGTGGAAGACACAGCCTGGTGGCAAAATTGGAGAAAAGACACCTCTGAATATTGTATGTCATGTGACAGGTGCCAGAAAGCAAATAAAGCTACAGGAAAAAGGTTTGGCTTGCTTATGAAGATCCAAGAACCATCAAAGCCTTGGGACATTGTGAACATGGATTGGGTAACCTCTCTTTCCCCGGGAGGTGCAGCTAGTTTTAAAGCGTGTCTAGTAATAGTGGACAGATACTCTAAATCACCAATATTCATACCT